ATTTCGTCTCACAGTAGGAGGTCCAAGGTTAAAAGGCTTCATCTAGTGGTCCCAATGTGGTATAAAGTAAGAGAAAAGGAGCACACTTATGCTTCCTCTGTTCTGTCCCCTGCTTCTTATAAAACCATCAGGAATCAGTCAGGAGGGCTCTATCCTTAAGTCTGTAAGTTCTTCCCAAAGGCCTACCTCTAAACACCATAGTTGTATTAAGTTGCTGCCTTTTAGTACTTGCAACATATTAAACCTTGGAAGACCCTTTGAGGCCATATCTGACTCTTGCCCTAGGCATCTAAGTTCATAGTACCTTCTGTAGCTTTCACTGCCTGTTGCCTACCATTTTCCGCACCTGTGTTCTAAGTTAACATGAATCAAAAATAGTATCTTGCATCAGCCCTGCAAATACCCTCTTAGACAAGTTCCAATACAAGTATTCAGTATTTTGGATATTAGGTAAGTATGTTCTGTCTGGTTCAAGGAAGGGAACCAAGATCTGGACTGCCACTACTCAAGACCATGACCAGAGCTGGGAAAGTGGCTCAGTGGTAGAATGCTTGCCTTGCATGCATGAAGCCTGGGTTCAATTCCTCAGTACTACATACGCAGAAAAATCTGGAAGTGGCCCTGTGGCTCAAGTGGTTAGAGCACTAGCTTTGAGCTGAAGAGCTGAGGGACAGTGCCCAGGCCCAGCGTTCAGGCTCCACGACCAGCAAAAAAAAAAGACCATGACCACTGATATTTTCAGGGCGGCCAAGCAAGAGCAAGAAGGAAATCTCCTGTTAAAAGATGAAGTTTTGCCTTGTACCAGTGCTCACACCTGTAATCCTAGCTACACAGGAAGCTGAGAGCTGAGCATCGTGGCCAAAGTGAGCCTGGGCAGAAAAGTCCATGAGACTTTTATCTCCAGTTAACAACACAAAACAGTTGGAAGTGGAGCTATAAGTCAAAAGTAGTAGAGTGCTAGCCTTGAGCAAAAAGGCTCAGGAGCAATGCCCAGGCCCAGCACACACACATACACAAACAAATTAATTTATCTTGACTGGACTTACTCAATTTCCATAAACTTCTGACTGTTTTTCAGAGCTTTCATAAAGTTGACTTAGCCAAATTCTGTGTTTGAATAAGAACTTGAAAACTCTCTAATCTATTTTGGTATCATTTCTCTGCTGAATTTTAAAAGTTATCTTTGATTATTAATGAAACAATATTAAAATCTACTTAGTTAAACGTTTTTAAATAAAACACTACTTGGGATGTGGAGGCAGGAGCAAATTGGAGGCCAGCCTATGCAGTAAACCCTATTTCAAAGATAAAATACAAAGCAAAAGAACTGGGGCATGGCTCAACTAGCTGAGTAGTGTTGCCTAGCATTGTAGTCCCCTGGTTCAATCCCCAGGTCCACAAAGAAGTTTGGGTTGGGGGAAAGGAGTAATATAGAAATTCAGAATATTTCTTTTTTTTTAATTGTGAACATACTGTACAGAGGGTTATAATTACATGGGCAAGATAATGCGTACATTTCTTATCAAGCATTGCAGCCTCCTCCTTTGTTTACCCTTCACATCCCTTCCCAGCCTCCCCCCCACCCCTCACCCAATCCTCCCCCCCCCCACACACACCAAAGTTGTAAAGTTCGTTTTCAACATGACAACTTGTACTTCTCATTGTTGCAACGGGTCTACATGTATCCTTAAACTACTTGTTTTTCCCCATCTCCTCCACAAATTATACTGACATCAAATATAGTGGAAACAGGGGTTATACTGTGGGGGAGGGACATACAAAGCAACAAAGAAATAATCTTATAAATGCATTAGAAACACATGCATGAAAGAAAAAAAACATTTA